ACCACCAAATTTGGTATAGGTTGCACCTCTCAAATCTGGGATTCTCTGATCTGGGAACATCCATGGTCTGGCATGACCAGGGATGTTCCAGGATCAGAGTGTCCTGGCATGCTGCAGAGGAGTGGGGGCCTGGGAGCTGGTGCGTGGCTCAGTTGGGCTGCAAGGAGGGACCTGGAGATGGTGCACGGTAGGGATGTAAAGGACTAGTCGACTGTCTGATAAGCAAATGCTTATAGAATAGTTGACAGGATAGTTGACTCGTTGCACCCCCTTCCCTTTGTTGCCTCTATCAGATAGAGGCATCAAGTGGGGGAAGGGAGAGAAGAGGATGGTACTTCAAAGCAGCAGCGCTGCATGGAGCCCGGGGTGCTGTTGCTACGGGGAGCTCGGCGTTAGGCTCCTCACAGCATTTTAAAGTGGCAGCACTGTGTGGGGTCCGGAATCAGCTGAGGTGTGCCAGCTTTCAAATGTACAGGAGTCCCCAGTGGAGGCTCTTGTGCATTTCAAAGAGGAAGTGCAGCATGGAGCCTGGGGCCAGCATGGGCCTCTGAGTCCCCCGCTGACTCCAGGCTCCATGCGGTGCTTCCACTTTGAAATGCACAAGCCCCCTGGTGGGGTTTTGTGCATATCAAAGAGGAAGTGCCTGTGTGGAGCCTGGAGTCAGTGGGACTTCCTACTGGCTCTGGGCTCCCCTAGAGTTCCAACTTTGAAATGCACAAGAGCCCTTGCTGGGTCTCTTGTACATTTCAAAGGCGGAATGAGGAAGTGCTTATTGACTGGTTGAGCAGTTGATGGAAATTCCATCGACTACCCGACTAGCAAATTAATCGCTACTTAACACCCTATCGTGCGGTGAGGGGGGAGTAAGAAGGTGGCTGTCTACAGATCACAGGCACATAGTTCAGCTGGGCTGCGGAGGGGAGGCTGGCATGAAGCTCATCTGGGCTGCAGGGGAGCCAGGAAGCTTGTGTGAGGCTAATGGGGGGGCCTGAAATGACCTTCCCCTGGTCCAGAAAAATCCCTCATCCAAGACTAGTCAGGTGCCCAGGGTGCCGGACCAGAGAGGTCCAACCTGTATATAGCTTCCTCTTATCATAACTTCAAGCAGTTGAAGTGTTTGACTGTGCCAGAGAAATGGGCTGTGCCTGGAATGGGATTGCTTTTCATAAAACCATACAAAACGAGAAAGACTCACCCAACAGGTGAAAGGGGCAGGCTGGGGCAAATGCCCCTTCTCCCATCTGGGATTGCCCCACTCTGCCCAGCCTCTTCTCCCCTTCATTTCATTTGGTGTCCTCTAGTCCTTCTATTATGGGAACTAACGAAGAACTTTTCTTTATGCACCCTCTCCACGCCACTCATGCTTTTCATAGAATCATAGAATAATAGGACTGGAAGGGACCTCGAGAGGTCATCGAGTCCAGCCCCCCGCCCTCAAGGCAGGATCAAGCTCTGTCTACACCATCCCTGACAGATGTCTATCTAACCTGTTCTTAAATATCTCCAGAGAGGGAGATTCCACCACCTCCCTTGGCAATTTATTCCAATATTTGACCACCCTGACAGTTAGGAATTTTTTCCTAATGTCCAATCTAAACCTCCCCTGCTGCACTTTAAGCCCATTACTCCTTGTCCTGTCCTCAGAAACCAAGAGGAACAAATTTTCTCCTTCCTCCTTGTGACACCCTTTTAGATATTTGAAAACCGCTATCATGTCCCCCCTTAATCTTCTTTTTTCCAAACTAAACAAGCCCAGTTCATGAAGCCTGGCTTCATAGGTCATGTTCTCTAAACCTTTAATCATTCTTGTTGCTCTTCTCTGTACCCTTTCCAATTTCTCCACATCTTTCTTGAAATGTGGCGCCCAGAACTGGACACAGTACTCCAGCTGAGGCCTAACTAGTGCAGAGTAGAGCGGCAGAATGACTTCACGAGTTTTGCTTACAACACACCTGTTGATACAACCTAGAATCATATTTGCTTTTTTTGCAACAGCATCACACTGTTGACTCATATTCAACTTGTGGTCCACTATGACCCCTAGATCCCTTTCTGCCATGCTCCTTCCTAGACAGTCGCTTCCCATCTTGTATGTATGGAACTGATTGTTCCTTCCTAAGTGGAGCACTTTGCATTTCTCTTTATTAAACCTCATCCTGTTTACCTCTGACCATTTCTCTAACTTGCTAAGGTCATTTTGAATTATGTCCCTATCCTCCAAAGAAGTTGCAACCCCACCCAGTTTGGTATCATCTGCAAACTTAATAAGCGTACTCTCTATCCCAATATCTACATCATTGATGAAGATGTTGAACAGTATGGGTCCCAAAACAGACCCTTGAGGAACTCCACTTGTTATCCCTTTCCAGCAGGATTTAGAACCGTTAACAACAACTCTCTGACTACGGTTATCCAGCCAATTATGCACCCACCTTATCGTGGCCCTATCTAAGTTATATTTGCCTAGTTTATCAATAAGAATATCATGCGAGACCGTATCAAATGCCTTACTAAAGTCTAGGTATATGACATCCACCGCTTCTCCCTTATCCACAAGGCTCGTTATCTTATCAAAGAAAGCTATCAGATTAGTTTGGCATGACTTGTTCTTCACAAACCCATGCTGGCTATTCCCTATCACTTTATTACCTTCCAAGTGTTTGCATATGATTTCCTTAATTACCTGCTCCATTATCTTCCCTGGGACAGACGTTAAACTGACCGGTCTGTAGTTTCCTGGGTTGTTCTTATTCCCCTTTTTATAGATGGGCACAATATTTGCCCTTTTCCAGTCTTCTGGAATCTCCCCTGTCTGCCATGATTTTTCAAAGATCATAGCTAAAGGCTCAGATACCTCCTCTATCAGCTCCTTGAGTATCCTGGGATGCATTTCATCAGGACCTGGTGACTTGCTGACATCTAACTTTCCTAAGTGATTTTTAACTTGTTCTTTGTGTATCCTATCTTCTAAACTTACCCTCTCTCTGCTTGTATTCACTACGTTAGGCACACCTCCAGACTTCTCGGTGAAGACCGAAACAAAGAAGTCATTGAGCATCTCCGCCATTTCCAAGTTCCCTGTTACTGCTTCTCCCTCCTCGCTAAGCAGTGGGCCTACCCTGTCCTTGGTCTTCCTCTTGCTTTTAATGTATTTATAAAAGGTCTTCTTGTTTCCCTTTATGCCTGTAGCTAGTTTGATCTCATTTTGTGCCTTTGCCTTTCTAATCTTGCCCCTGCATTCCCGTGTTGCTTGCCTATATTCATCCTTTGTTAGTTGTCCTAGTTTCCATTTTTTATATGACTCCTTTTTTATTTTGAGATCATGCAAGATCTCCTTGTTAAGCCAAGCTGGTCTTTTGCCATATTTTCTATCTTTCCTACACAGCGGAATTGTTTGCTTTTGGGCCCTTAACAACGTCCCTTTGAAATACTTCCAACTCTCCTCAGTTGTTTTTCCCTTCAGTCTTGCTTCCCATGGGACCTTACCTACAAGTTCTCTGAGCTTATCAAAATCTGCCTTCCTGAAATCCATAACCTCAATTGTGGTGGTCTCCCTTCTACCTTTCCTTAAGATCATGAATTCTATTATTTCGTGATCACTGTCCCCTATACTGTCTTCCACTTTCAAGTTCTCAACTAGTTCCTCCCTATTTGTTAAAACCAAATCCAGAACAGCTTCTCCTCTGGTAGCTTTTTCAACCTTCTGAAACAGAAAGTTGTCTCCAATGCAGTCCAGAAACTTATTGGATAGCCTGTGCCACGCTGTGTTAGTTTCCCAACATATGTCTGGATAGTTGAAGTCCCCCATCACCACCAAATCTTGGGCTTTGGATAGTCATGTTAATTGTTTAAAAAAGGCCTCATCCACCTCTTCCACCTGGCTAGGTGGCCTGTAGTAGACTCCTAGCATGATATCACCCTCCTTTTTTACCCCTTTTAGCTTAACCCAGAGACTCTCTACACAGCTATCTCCTACGTTCATCTCCATTTCAGTCCAAGATGTTTCCCATTATCAGGGAGGGAGGGGAAAGTGCAGTTTGCTGCATTCCTTACTCTGGCTGGGGACTGAAGGAGTCAGATGAGCCTGTGCTCTTTGCTCTCACTCCCTGAAAGGGACAGGAAGAGGAAGAGCAAGCAACCCTGATACGAATTTTTTTTTGGGGGGGAGCTTTGGTCCCCCTGCTTACCATCCTGCACACACACATACTCTCTCTCTCTCCTGCTGCCCAGAGCCCCCAGCCCTGACTCCTGCACCTCCTACACCCCCAGTCTCCTACTCTGAGCCCCTACTTAAGGACAGGAGCAATACTGGGTAAATGTGCTAGTTGTATAACACTTTACTTTTCCACTCTGCCCTTGAACTCTTATTTTTCTGTCTTCTGGTCTGAGAACAGGAATGAGAAGTTATTTTGTGTTTTTATTTTTCTCTGTTTACTTTTGATACAGGCACTTGCGTCTTAATGAGAAGGCTTTGGCAAAAAGATGAGTCTTGCATTTTGTTCAGGAAGTGGTTAGATTTGTAGTAGTGAGTTTTGGTGGAAATGAATTTCATAGATGTTGTCTGGCTTCCAAAAATCTCTGACTCTGATAATTTCCCCAGCAAAACTGTAAATGAAATTTTATTCTAGCATTTTTCATATTTACACTGTCTCTTAAGAAGGATGGTGAATAGAACTTGGAGTTAGGAAATTGGATTGTATTCTTAGCTCTGGTGTAGTCTTGCTATATGGCTTTGTGTAAGTCACTTAACTTCCCTGTGTCCTAATTTCTTAGTCTATAAATTGGGATAGTAATTCTTCCCTTTCTTCATGGGGGTATTGTGAGCCATCAGTTATTAATATTGCATGAAAAATGCTATATAAATGCCGCAATGAAAAATGCAATGTAAAATTGCATTGTAAATGTATAAATGCAACGTAAAATTGTATTGATATGAATACTTCCATTTTGGCTTTCAGAAATCTGAAGGTACTCTGTTAATAAATCTTTGTTTATTGCAGTGATAGACAATGGCACAAGTTAAAATGCAGACTACAGCAAACCTCTGTGGACCTACCCTTTCCCCTATGGTGCTAACCCCATCTATAACAAATGCAAGTTCACTGGGTCTGCAGGCCTCAATGAATGGATCCATTTCAGAACCAGCTGCCAGCTGTAACAGTCCAACAGCTGGTCTTATGGATTCTGCACCATCTAGCCACTCACCAGGTAAGGAGATGTTTTGCTTAGAATACTTATTTTTGTTTTGCAAAGAAGTTCACTTGATGTATTTTTCATATAAAAAAACCCCAAAAGAACATAAATAAAACTCTGTAGAAAAATGTTTTGGTTTCAAATGCTATTTATAGAATTTAGTTTCTTTAGCTGAATTTTGATTTATGATGGTACATTGTTAAGAAATATGGAAGTCCAGAAAAAAATACACTCTTCTGCTGCATCCTACATCAGAGGTGGGCAATAACATGGCGCTGGTGGGCTGCCGCTGCTATATTTACTGAATGGCTTCAGGTACTAGTAATCGCAACTCCTGTTGGCTGTGGATTGCCATTCCCAGTCAGTGGGCGTGGCGGGAAGTGGCACAGACTAGGACACTACTTTCAGCAGCTCCCAATAGCTGGGAACGGTGATCCATGGCCAACAGGAGCTGTGATTGCCAGCGTCTGAGGTCATGAAGCTAAATCTGGCAGTAGCGGG